TAAGATACTTTAATTCATTAATTTCAGATAATAATTACTTATTAAGATGTATTAATTCATTAATTTTATTTTCATATTCTGGATCTGGTAAAGATACTTGAATTTCAAAATCACAATAAGCTTGCAATTTGTCATTATTGTTATCGGAAAGTTTCAACCTTTTTCTTTTACTTTCTTCATCTAAAAAAATTAAGTTATTAGCTTTTTTCAATTAATTAATAAAAGAATCTCTAGCAACAACGTTATTATAATGTTTTTCACATAAAGAGTAATTTTCTAAAGAATCAAGTAATGAATTTAATTCAGAAAAATAGTTAGCTAAAATTGTAATTTTATTCTTTGCTATTTCGGTTGATGCATGTTGTCATCTCTGTTTTTCTTTAATTTTACATAGTACTAGTTAGCTTTCTGGATATTTACTAACAATAGAATTGAATATGTAAGGTAAGTTTTTAGTTTTCAGTTTTAAAGTTGTCATTTCTAAATAATATATATATATGTAAAAAAGTGTATTTTAGTCTAAAAATAATTTAAAAACTGATTTGTAAAGCTTTGTAGATCAGCGAGGATTATGAAATTATATATCTAAAAGAATATATTTTGTTAGTTATTTTTTATAAAAAAAAATTATGTATGACGTATTTTAATTTGAAATTTTTATAAAAATGATGATCAAATACTAATTAAATTTTAAGGTGTGATTAAAGAATATTCTAGATTTGATTTTCAAATTTAGAAATATACTGAACTGTAATACAGTCAACTTTTATTATACAAATCCTATATTCTAGACTTCAACCTTATTATAAAACTATAATGAAGATTTTAAGAGATTTGATTAGTCAATTTGATATAACAAGAGTATTTTTATTATATTTGTTCAAAAATTTATTATATCAAAAGTTCAATATATTAAAAGTTTACTGTATTTATAAAAAAAAAACTAATTTAGAATAATTTTATTTATACTTTAATATATAAATTAAAAATTTTTAAAAATAAATTTTTTTAATATAAAACTAACTAAAACTTACTACTTTTTATTAGAAGAAATCATATAATATTATATAAATTCTAAAAAAGAAACTTGTGTAATCCCTTTGCAGAATAACAAACTGTTTTTATTAAAAAGTAAGGTTTCTGTTTAGAAATTAGTTTAATAATATACAATTAATCATTATTATTTATAAGGTAATCTAAATGTTACAATTATATAGTGTAAAACCTCTATAATAGGAACTTAAAAAAATATTAATAAAATTTTAATCTACTGATTGGATTTAATTAAATAAATAAAATGATTTAAATTTGTAAAAATAAATCAATTTATAAAAAAAGTTTTTTTTTCAATTTTGTAAATTATAAGCCAATTAAAAACTAGAATTAAAAATCATATAAAATAATTTATTTTATTTTATTTTATTATTTTATTATAAATTGCATCAGATACATGATGATAAAACTTATATTTTTTAATTGCAACTTTACCATTTTTCTAGTATTATCTTTTCTATAAATATTTATAAATCATTATGATTTTTATGTATATTTTTGAATTATAATTAAAAGAATTGAATCTAATACTTTAGAAAAAATTTATTATAATCTAACCTATGTGTAATTGTAATATTTTTGTATATTTTTTTTGCTATACCCTAATACATCTTTATATAATTCAATTTATAATAATATTTAAGTTAAAATATATGAATGATAAAGAATAATTCTTATAAATTTGTTATCATATAATTTTTTCAATTTCAGTTTTTATAATTAATTTTGAATAAATTTAACCTGATATAACTTTATCAATATTAAAGATATTGAAATTCTAATCCAAGATTCTTAAAGCACAGGTTATGATTTATTTATTTATAGATTAAATCTTCAATTTTATATATAATAAAATTTTTTTTTGCATTTTAAATTTGTTCCATTTTTATTATAGTAAAGTTCCTATTATAGAAGTTTTGCACTGTATATAAATATTTTTAATTATATAAATTCATAATAAAAATTAAAAATAAATTAGATTAAATAAAAATTAGATTTTAAAAATTTGTTAAAATTTGTTATTATATTTACTTATAAATTTATAAATTATATTATATAAAAAAAATTAAAGTTAATAGTCAAAACTTTATAATTTTATAAAAAAGTAATACTTAAAACTATAAAAATTATATTAATATAAAATTTATTAAAGTCAATGGTAAAATATTATATTATATTTATATCAATTATAATTATTATTAATAAAATATTATTATATTATATTAGTTATAATTTAAAAATTCATTTATGTTAAAGTATAATTTTGAGATGAATATATAAAATTTATGAAAATTAATATATAGTTGGTAATCAATTGCTTTGTAATAAGATATTATTATAAAATATTATTAGTTAGAATATTATAATATAATAGATCTAGTTGATTTATAACTTTAGAATAGACATATTTGTATTTTATTTATATGACTGATCTTAAGTTTTAGTTTAGATAAATAGAATTATTTACTTATAATCTAATCAAAGATAAAATAAATAGGATAATTTAAGTTTATATGAATTCAAAATATATAATAATAATGAATTTATATTTAATTTTTAATTGATTTTTTATTTTTCTTGTAACTGACTTATTTCTTCTCTATTAATTCTTTTTGAAATTTTCAACAATCTTAGTTATTTCAAATAAATATTCAGGGAAGCTACATATTTTTCGAAATGTATTAGATCTGTTAAAAATATTTCATACTGCATAAAATTAAAGCATACTTTCCTAATTCAATATACCTTTTTAGCAGATCATTTAATAGATGACACATTTATTCTTTCTCACAAATAACGTCATACATAATAATGACAATCCTATTATTTATTAATCACATCACGTAATTTTGTTTGCAAACGACGAATGTAATGACATTTTTTTGTGATTTCGTGAAATCAAAAAAATTTGAATATAAATAGGCTCGCAATTTTTTTCAGATTCCCTCATCATCCTATTACTTTCTCGAAAAAAATGAAATAAGTGAAAAGTATATCAAAATTTCAAGATGACGTTAATAATATTCATGTCTAACAATCTAACGACTTTTCCAAAAAAGGATGATCATGATTTTTATTAATTTGATTAATAAAAATTTTTGTAATGAATATTTTTGGCAAAACTGAATAATGCATCATGCAAACTCACAAACCAATACCAACTTGTTTTTTTCACTCTTTACTGGTCTTTTGAATTAAATCTACATTTCGTCACTTTAAAATGTTATGCATTTCTCTTTATTTTTATTTTTTTTTTTTATTCGACCGTCGAATCAAATTTTCTCGTTTTATTTTTTGTTGAAAAACATTTGTCTCCCTCTCTTATAACTAGATTCATTTTTACGTAATCTTTTTAATTAAAAATTAGGTTATTCTCCCTTTCCCTTTTGTGTTTCCTTTCACCAATTATTGTAATTCTTTCTAATTTAATTATCGCACTTTGTTGTATGTTTATTTTTTATATATAATGAATTCGCAAATTTACTTATCGTTATGAAGTTTAAATTAATAAAACCTGATCATTTTCATAAGCGTTATACACATTAAAGCAACTTCTGTTACTGGTATTAAAAACTTAATTACAATGAAACGATTATTATTCGAGTTTGATATCTCAACTATGGTATCAATTTAAAGAATTAAATTTTCAACCGATTTTAATTATTAAAAAATTTTTATTGGACAAATACATCAGTTTCACTTTTTTTGTATTTAATTATTTAAATTTAATCAATTTTTATATACTGGATAGTATTATGACAAAGACGAAAAAATTTTTTTTTTTTTTTTTTTTTTTTTTTACAAAAAATCATTTCTTTTGCTAAATGATAAAAAAGGCAAATCAGTACCGAACCGTACTGGTTTTATATAAATGTCCTTATTATATAAACTGATCAAACGATTCGTATCGTACCGTTGCAATATAAATAGATAAATAAACTCTTCCGAAATAACATTTTAATTTTAAGTATTTTACCGTTATTCCATTTTTTTTTTTTTTTTGATATAATTGTTATTGGTTCTTTAGTGTTTACATTACATGATATCAGGATCGGATAAAAGTTTTTAATAAAAAGCTAAAGTTAAATGAATATTAATTATTAACCGATTTATTACAGGAAATTGATTGTGTCAAATTTGCAAAACAAAAAAGACTTGAAAACAATTTTAATTCAACAATTTCTAGAATGGGTGAATGAGAAGTTTTACTTTGCATGGTTCCTGAGGAGATATTTATAGTTTTGGTATAATCGTACCACAGTTATTAAGATATATATTAATAATTTATTTAGTTTCTTCCTGAATCAAAAAATTCGGATTATGATAATAAAATACTTATTTATATTATCAAATTTTTAAGTTAGATGCAAGAAAGGTCTAACAATTAAATATTATTAATTAATAAATAAATTTAGTTGAATTATAAAAGAAATACCGCATAAATTCTTTATACGTGAAAGAAGTTAAATAAGTTGGAACAAAATTATTAAATCAATTCTTTCTCACATTACTTGAATAATAATTGAAAACTTTTTTTGAATAATAAAAATATAATAAAAAATGAATGAAGCATAAAGATTTAAAAGCATTTCTATATTTTTTCGACTATATCGTTATTGTAATTTATTAAATTAGTAAATAAAATTAAACAATTTTTACTACTTTAATACAAGACCAATCAATTGAATTCTTCCAAAGTAAAGCCCTATAACAAATAATAAAAAGCAAATTTTAGTATTTCTACTACTAAGTAGAAAGAGAGAGAACACAAGCACTCAAATTATCGGAGACCCGACCATTGAATCCAACTTGCATTGCTAGACATATCCAGTAGGAAGTCTCGTATGCGGTGCCTATCCTTCAAAAGAACATTAGAGTAGAATACTTTGTTTAACCGTATAATACAGTCTACTTTAGTCCAAGAAGCCTTATATGTAACTTCACCAATGAAGTCTGACGTTTGGACTTATCCACTTCGTGTGGTTAACCTATTAACACTTAGTCCCCATGTCTCCCAGGTCATTGGCAATTCAAGGTCTCAATCGTAATTGAATCATCAAAGTATAAATTTATTCTCACCATTCTTTCTCAGACTATAATGGGGACGTATTCAGTGCTGACTTTTTTATGATATAATGACTTTGTTTAGGATACCATGACCAAATTAACCACTCGTTCCTTTTTCGTAAGTCATGGTTACTAATAGTTATTCCAGCGGCTTGGTTGAATTTCTTCACTTTCATTCAATGTTTAGTTAGTCTAACATCTCGTGAAAATTATTATTAACATTTGGTTACATTTTTTATTACAGAATTAAAAGAGATTTTTCAGAATCAAAGTCAATGTTTTTATATAGATATTTTAATTAAATTTATTTCATTCAATGGTCCCAGAAAAATGTAAAGCTAGAGGTTTTGATCCAAAAAAAATAAGTTATTTATCAACATTTTTTCTTTGATCTCTTTACAATGTGTCTCTTACTACAGTACTTGTATTTTCGCGCAATTTAATCATATTTGAATATGCTTTTTAGTCTTTTCCCACCTACAGTACCCTCAAAAGAACATTGATATTTTCGTTGACTTGGTAAATAATTAAAACTATCCTCATTTTCAAATAAAAACAAAAATACACTTTCTGGAAATGAGTCAAGTGTTATGTGTTTTTTTTTTCTAATTGAGTATCTATTAAATCCAAGACTCCTTTTCAGACGAATTATTACTGTATCTCGAAAAATTGCTTCGTTCATGGCTCTGGAGTTTTTTCTATTTTAGAATATAGTAGGCAAGGAAAAGTACATGCAGCAGTCATTTTTAAACAGAAAATTTGACGCATTTTCATGCAAAATCATGCACAGTCACGTCAGAAAGTGACGCGCCCGATTTAAATTTATATATAAAATTATAAAATTTCTTACAATTAAAATATTAAGCTCTCCCGTTAAATATTATTTTTTATAAAATTATGATAAATTATGCAAAATTTAGAAAAAATTGTTAAAAGAAATATAAATTTATTAGCATTTAAAATTTTCCACAAATTAAAACCTTTTTTTAAAAAAATACAACTTAGCTGGCTATAAAATTAAGAAATAATTATTAAAGTAAATACTAATATGTATATAGCTTGAAATTTTCTATTCTTATATGTTTTATTATAAAATTTGGATCGGGTGTCACTTTCTTCAGAAATTGATTAATTCGTAATACGTGAAACACGTGTAGATCACGTTATAAGGGTTATTATTAAATTGGCAGGTTATATTAATTATAAACTCGTACTAGTCTTCGCAAATCTCAACGTTCCCAGTTTTCTATACTCAATTTTGTAATGGAAACCGTCGTGAGTTATCAGTTATACTTGTATTGAGTGGAAATATTGTTCCTTATTTGCACTATGGTCTAGGATTTATAGAAATGCTTGCCCTCATAGGTAAAGGTTGAACATTTTTTATATCTTTA